AACTTCCAAGAAGTTGAAAAGTGGAAGGAATCTTTTACCAATTACCAATGAATTGAAACTGTTCCAATTTGAAAATCAGTTTCGTTTGGTTTGAGAAACATAACTGTTTTAGTTTGGCTAAGCCCAAAAGAGTGGCCCAAAAAGAAAAGAAAGCTATGTACTAAAGGGAAATTATTCCTATTGGGTTCTCAAGGCCCAAAATAAAACTATCATTTTTCATTCCCTATAGTTCTAATTTCTACTTAGGACGAGGTAGTACCAAAACAAATATGAATTTTATTTTTAAAAGAAAAGTGGTACTATTTTTCCAAAGTCCTGTACATTTTAAAAATCCTAAGGACCAGTACTTTTAGAGCTTGTTGGAAATGAATTAAGGACTGAAGCTTACTATAAGAAGGCAGATTTTGTAAGGTACCTGAATCGGAGATTTCCAATTTTATTACCAAAACTGAGATATTCGTCTTCCATTACTTAGAGCTTATCAATAATTCATTGCCAAAAACAATTGTTAGCCAAAAAGCAGAAACTAGTTAAGTTCCCCCTGAATTACATTCCCCCTGAATGTATGCGCTAGGAATAAATCTCAAAAACATACTTGAATTAGGTATAATCAAGCATAGTAAGCACAATTAAGAGAAATATTAAGGCAATGTTTAAACCAATAAAGCAATGTTTAAACAAGAAGGTGTTTTCATCAAAGCAAATTAATGTTTTCACATACTTTTCCCCCTGGTTTGATGAAAAAAGCCTTCAGTGCTTCTTGCGCTTTGAAGATTCGGCAATCTCCCTGATGCCTTGCATGCTTCCACATAGCTCTTTGATGCGCCTTATGTTGTTGCGTCTCTCCTCTGTTTGATTTTCATTTGAGAAGTGAGCAGCAATTGTTCCTACAGCCTCTGTTCCATCCAATCCGGAGCAGGATAAGCACTGTGTTGAGTTTTCCGGATTGCTTCTCTGAGCTTCAAGGACTAGATCAGTCAAGTTTAGATGCGTAGGAATGTAAGAGACTTCTCCTTCTTTGACTGCAATGGGGAGCTCTAGAATCAAGGATGGACTGTGTTGTTGAAGAACCACTTCCATCTTGCGATTTCCAGAATTTGTGGTAAGAAGTTTGAATAGTTTGTGTGCTTCCTTCTTATTGTCAATAATTACCTTCAAGTAGTCTTTGGTTACTACTTGATTTGCTGAAGACACTGCTAGAGCTGCTCTGATGTCCATTTGGAGAATGGACATTTGTTTTTGTAGACTGACTGTGACAGTTGCTATTTGCTCTCTGATTTTGTTAACCTCCTTGAGTTGAAGATAACTGTCAGATGCATATGTCTCCATCGTATTGCTCACAGTGTTACTCAATAGAGATAAGATCTCTAGAGTTTTATCCACTGATTTGCTTATCTCCTTGAGATTGGAGCATTGTGTCTCTTCGGATTTCTCAATCAGTTTGTTGTGCCTGGCTTCCATCTGCTCTATCTCTTGCCTAAAGGAGGCATGTTGAGATGCTAGGGCTGATTCAATCAGCCCTTGGACCTTCTTTGACCAGATTTCCGGTACCTCATCCGGAAGAGTAGGAATGGAAGAGCTATGGAAATGGAAGTTGGTTACCTGATGAGAAGAGGGTGTTCTTTGGAAGAGTTGCATAGGAAGAGATTCAGCATCATCTTGTACATATTCTTCATCATTGATCTTCAGAGTTCTTTCAGATTCTTCTTCTGCTTCTCTAAGTGTAAAATTTGATATATCCCTAGAGAGGGAGTCTCTTTCTTCAGCTTCATTCTGTGTTTCAAAAATGGCTACTGGAGATTTGGAGGCCTCCAGTTCTGCCATTTGAGTTTCCTTCTCAGCTTTTGCAGAACTTCTCTGGGCTTCTACAACTTGCTCTTCTTGAGCTTCATTTGTTTTTAGAGTTTTGGACATCTCCAGATTTTCTGCTGACTTCTCCGGGATCTCAGTTTCAGTAGGATTGGTGATCTCACAAGGATTTGTGAGAATCTCTAAAGCTTGCTGGAGTTCTTCATTTGATCCTTCCTGGTTCTGTTTTTGTGGAGTAGAGACTGCAGCTTCAGGTAGAACAGTTTCAAAGGCAGATGAGGTTTCCGGAAATATTTGGAAATCCTCAGCTGTCGTTTCCAAGTTAACCTGTGCTTCAGAAGTGAGAACCACCTGATCTTCTGTGGTTTTTGAGAGGACTAGTTTGTAGACTGCAGGATCCTCATCATCCACTTCAAATTCTGAAATTGGTGAGGTGACCAAGTGTTCCAGATGCAAATCTTCATAGTTCCTTTGCCATACCCAGTCAACATCCAGAATTTGCTCACAGCAATAGTTGACTGGCAGACCTAAGCATTTCTTGATGATCTTCTCATTCTTCAGTTGCTGGTCCCAACTCAGCAACTGTTTTGCTGAATTTCCAACTTTCCAAGCTCTCCAGTCATAGTAGAGCTGCCAGAATTGATTCTCAACATCATCTACTTGAGGTTGTGAGGAAGTTGGAGAATTCTGAACTTGAGGAATGTCTTCTTCAAGTTGTTGAGGACTCCGGTTGTGGGCTGAGGTTTCCTCAGTTGTTTCCTTCTCCTTCAACTCATCCGGATTGACATATCCAGATATTGAGGGAGAGGTGATTTTCCTCTTCTTTTTGCTTTGTAGTTCTCCTTGGTCAGAGAATTCTTCTTCTTCTTCAAGATTGATTGGAGCAAGGTTCTGTGGAGCTTCAGCACTGGGAGAGGGAGACACCACTTGCTTCCTCTTTACTGACTTGTTCAGACTCATGATAAGGACATTGTCTGAAGAACTTTCCTCTGCAGTTGTGCTAGCACCAGCTCTGTTTTCCCCTTTGGAAGACTGATAGTATAGCCAATATCTGGCTTCATAGTTCTTTCCTTCAGAAGCAGCACCCAAGGACTCCAAGATATGTCCAATGTACAGACCTTGACAAAGGTATTTCTGGTTGGGTTTTCCCAGATGCTTTGAGATGGAATTGAAGAAATGAGCAGCCCAATTTACCTTAGACTTGGTAATGAGGGCATTGATGATGAAGGCCCTCTCTTGGGTGATGTCATCAGCATGTCCTCCACTTCCACATTCGAGGCATGCGATGACCAGTTCAAGGACTAGCTTGTAGTCGTTGTTCAGAT